CCCTAGCTTTATGATAACAAAAAAATTGATATACTTTATTATTGAAGATGCATAAAAATAATTATTCTAAAATGTATACAGCATCAATAGAATCTGAAAATTATTCATTAAGATGGCTTAATACTGAATTGCAAATTGAAACTAGTAAGATTTTAAATATGCAATTGAAAATAGATTCATTAAAGAATAAGTTAACAAGCTTAAAGATGAAAATAGTAGGCTTAAAAATACAATTAGCTATTAGGAAAATAGAAAACAAAATAAGATAGTAAACTCTAGTAAAGTGTCTTATACTAATGCTGAACAATTTATAATAGATTATATTTCAATATGACTGAAGATATCCTTTATAAACAAATATGTTGCACTGCTTTATATCAGGATTATCTTACTTGGTGTGATAAAAATAATAAACAAGTATTAAATAGTAATAATCTTGGCAAAAAATTCTCACAATTGGATATTAACTGTAAATGGATATGAGTAGATAGTAATAATAGAGAATAATAATATAAATTAGACTGATCTAAAATTATGAGTAAAATACATGGCTAATTTATCCTAATATTAGGATAACTTTCAGATAACATCTAAATAGATTTCAGATAACTTCCAGTAAATGAATGAGTCAGTTATAATAATGCACAATTGTTTTATTTTATATTTTGAATTCTCTGATCCGTAGGTCAGCAAAAGTCATGTGACTGATGTAGTAAGCATAGTAAATTAACAAAAATTTTTGACCAATACTATTTCATAATTTTGGTCAAAATTTTAGGCATAATATTTTGGCATTCAAGCTAACATAAAGTAGTGAACTAATAGAACTAGACTAGCTTTATAACAGTTTCATGATAGTTTTTTACCAGTTCCATGATACTAACAGTCTACCACAGAACTATCATGATGTCAAGCTGGATTCTTAAATCATATATCCTAAAGATTAGCTAAAAATATGCTATAGATCTGGCCAAAATTAATTGCAAATTTATTGTACTACCTAACATGATTTTTTTACCACAATTTGGCATTTTAATAGGCAACCAAAAAGATACAAAGGGTAGGCATCTCAATATAGAATTAGGCTTCCAAATAGATATAGAAAATCAGTGTCTTTAATAAATAATTTGACATAAAAATGAAATAAGAATAAGAAAAAAATAGTCACTATTAAATCATGATATCACTATTAAATTAAACCATCAGTAATCACCATTAGTTTATGAAATAACCACTATATTATACAGGAAAAGATTAAAACAATAACTATAAAGGCAAAAGATTACCTAAAGAATAAACCAAGCAGACCATGAAGTAACTAGCAGATCATAAAAATAGATTATGAAATTACAATTAGATTATATAATTAGGTTATAATACCACTATTGCATTATGAAATTACCAGCACATTATGAAGCTACCATTATAATATGAAGCTATCAACAGATTATGAAGTTACCATTATTATATGAAGATACTGACAAATTATGAAGTTACTATTATGATATAAAGTTACCAACAGATTATGAAGTTACTATTATGATATAAAGTTACCAACAGATTATGAAGTTACCATTATGATATGAAGTTATCAACAGATTATGAAGTTACCATTATAATATGAAGTTATTATTATATTATGAAATTACCAATAAATTATGAAGCTACCTTTATAATCTAATACAAATCACATGTGATTTCATAATATAATTATATTATGAAGTTACATGTGATTACATTTTTGGTAAAACAAATATCATACCAAGTATAAAAATATTGCAAATAACTTAATTCTAAATAAACCTTAAATTTTAATAATTTTAATATTAAATATATACAAAATTTTTAACTTTAATTATTTATATAAATAAATAAATAAATATTTAATATCTTTAATATAAATAATTCAAATAATTTACAAAATTTTTTTAATAATAATAATTAATAAAATTGATTAATTTTAACTTTTATAAAAAAAATTACTTTTATTAAGAAAAATTTAAAACTTTGATCATAAATTTAATAAAGAATTAAAAGAATTACTAATTAATATATAATTTCACTTATAAATATCATGTTTTTATATAAAATTATTTTTAAATTGATTTTTAAAATAATTAAAAATCAAATAAATTATTGAAAGCAAAACTATTAAAGGGTTAAATATAATTAAATACTTTTATTTTAAATTAGCTTTAATTTATAATATATAGAAATTATAAATTAACTTTAATTTAAGATTTGAAAATAAAATTTTTGATTTATATTTTTAATGAAAACTTGCTTTTAAATAAATTTTTTTAATACTATGTATGACAAAGATTAATTTTATTACATTAAATTTATAATATTAAAACTTCCTAATTAGCTGATTATAATCTATATATAATAATTTTAAAACTATATATGTATTTTCTTATTTTATTACGTTATTAAAATTTTATAAAAGTTTAATAGCTATTTTTAACTGGTGCAATATATAAAAAATATACTTACGATATAAAGGTGTGTGGAAAAATTCTTTGTAATATTCATTTTTTTTTTTCCTAAAAAAACAAAAAAGAGACTATCAATGTAAGTATTTTAGCATAAAGTTGACTAGATTCTTTACGTTTTTATATCGTTGCTCTGATTATTGGTGCTTGCAAGAATAAAACTCTTTTAGTGTTTGATAGTCGAAATCCGAAGAATATTCTTTTAATTAAAGCAAGTTTATATTTAGTAGTGATCAATGTAAATTGTTAATTTTTTTAATAGAAATATCCGATAACCTTAAAAAACGTGCCATACAAACAAGATGATTAATAAAAGGATTTCTGTCGGAATTAATTTTATTTTTTTTATCCTTGTTTTTCTCATTCATTTAACGACCAAATTTTATTAGTAATTAGAATGAATATCATACAATCATGCTAATCATGTTGGTGGCTTAGTGTCAATGTGGCTGATACAATATCCGAAATGAATGATTGTACTAAAAAAAATAAAAAAATTTTTTTTCAACCAATTAACATCAAAAGAAGAGGGTAAATTTGTATAGATCGGGAAGAATCGGTATTGACAAGATTTGAGTTTTAAAACCAAAAATATCAACCTTCGTTTGAAGATGTAATCGTTGGGGAAAAAAAAAAAAGACCACTGATGTATAATGTGATTAAATCAATATCAATTAATCTCTTTAATATTTATTTTGTAAATAAAATATTTTTAAAATAAATAAATAAATAAATAAATCAGATACTCAATTCCTAAATATGATGTTAAATTAATCATTGTTTATATCATATGAAGAATTTGAAACATTGTGTGTATTTTTTCAATGAGTGAAAGAAAAGGTTAGCCCTTAAAAAAGTAAATTTACGTTTAATCTAAAATGATTTCATCCGTTATCACAACTTGTTTGCAAAGCCATAACAAGTTCCATTAGTGATTATTTATGTATTTATTCGAGGATCTAAAAATCGTGCGCCCAAATTCCTAAACTAAAATGATGATGCGTTAAACTTAAAACACGAAAAAATTTGATGATTTCGATTCAGGAGATAAGTCTTTTATATAATTACTATCTACAAGTACGTTCTATGAGAAAGTAAATCTTTCTTTAAAAGAATAAAAAAAAAGATCGCGGACATCGAATACCATAATTGTTCGTGATTATTGAACGAATAAAATTTGTCCGATAACGTCTCAATAAATCTTTGTTTATTTTTAAATATATTATTACATGTATTTTATTTCAATCTCGATATCTCGATGTTAAACTAATTTATAGAGTTTGGTTTACTATAAATACAAATTCTCATTTTGTAATAATGTAATGACGGCTAATTCTCTAGGTAGTTAAACTTCAACTAAAAAAAAAATTGATTATCAATCAATAGATTATTTTATAACCGAGCATAACATACTAATTGAGGTAAAATTTAAGTTGGATCGTAGCGAAGTTTATTCTCTATAGTAACTACTTGTAAAGATTTTTTAGTATTTAATATTAATTAATAAAGGGGATATATTAGGTAATGTTGTGTGCCACGTGAAAATCCAAAGTAAATATTTGCGCATGATTTATCCAATGGCTGCGCGATGAAAATATTTTTTTTTCTTTCCACCACCTAAGATATTCAAGGAATAGGATAACAAAAAAGGAAATCTATTGAATTTTTTTTTGAGTGTGGGGACATCAAGTTTTTGTATCGAAATGAAAAAAGAGGAGCCAAAGATTTCCAATAATTGTACACAGACATCACATTGCATATAAGAACTTTAAAACTTATAAAAATAGTTCATTACAATGAAAGAATCGGTTCGATTTATTGGATATAAATAACTTTTTGTATCGAGCACAACATCTGTGGTACAAATAGAAAATCGGTGCTAGATTTTCGACGTTGATCGTGTTGTTCAAAATTTTCCCTATCACCCTTTGCTTTTTTTGAATTAAATCGCGTCAAAGGTACATTTTCTTAATCAAATCACTCTTTGAGAATTGAAAATAAATACGGTATGGTACCAATTCTTTTTTTGTAGATTAATAGTGGTTTGAAAAAAAGGGATGACAACCATTAAAGTGATGTATCGGTTAGTGAACTGCGAGTGACAATTAGGGAGAATCAATTTGTCCATACTTGGAAATTAATATTGTATTCACCGCCACTTTTCTATTTATAAAACAAAGTAAATGTTATGTAGATCATACTTAAACATTTATGTAAGTTAAAATATATATTATATTGTAATCCATGAAACTGGTTTTATATTGGCAGCCATTGGAAAAAAGAAATAAATACCACCCATTTCGCATCTGCAAAAGAAAAAAAGCAAAAAAACCTTCTTTGTAAAACAATAAATAAAAAGCAAAAAACAGAAAAACAAAACGGCTGTGTCCTATTGATAGATAAAAAATTTGAACGCAATTTTAAAAAGCTATAAAAGCAATTAAAGACTTCCAAACTCAAAGTTTTACAACGCAAAACCGTTCAATAAAAAAACCAATATTAAAAATGAACATGATCGCTGAAATGACCTCTTCAAAATCATCTTTCGAATCATCATTTTTTAATGAATATCCTCTCGTTCGTTCAAGAACATCTTCGTTTTCAACCAATAATGCAACTTCTTCTTATGCTAGCCCATTCTTCTCTCAACAAAACAACCAACAATGTTACACAAGATCTTTATTTTCTCATTTACAACAACAAGAAGAAGAAGAGGAGCTCGAGTCCCCTATCAATATTTACCATGAACATAGAGGCCATTTAGAAGAAGATAAAAAAGCAAGAACTGAATTAATTACTGAAATCGCAAATGATGATTTATATTGTCCCGTTCAACAGCAACAACAAAAAGAAAACACAACGTCAAGAGGATTAAATTCCTTACCTCGATTTTTATCAACCACAAACAATTATAGTGGAGTGATGGAATCTACTAATAATAATAATGAAACTTGGGCTTATTATCATAATGATATGTTTAATACTAATAATATGTTTAGTAGCTTTGACGGCATTAATAGTGTCACTTGTCAATAATACATTATTATAATATCAATATTCTTTTTTTCTTTTCTCGATATTATTTTTTTTTATTCTTTTCGGCATTTTTCACATTCTTATCGCATTAATTATAGAGATTATACATAAATCTGCACTTTTTTATTTTCATTTTCGTATTGGCATAAATTGGCAAAAATCTGAATAATTAGCATTTTTATATTTCTTACGATTTAGACATTTCTCCGTATATCGCATTTTACGGATTAATTTTTTTCGCATTTTTCGCATTTTCTTAGATTTCATTACATTTATCGCATTAAAACAAAAAAAAATTAAATTTTTTTTTGTAAAATAAATATGATTCAACAACAAACACCTTCTAAGCTTCTTTCTTTATGTACATAATTCATTTATAAAAAAAAAATTTAACGATTTCAATAAAACATTTAAGAAAAATATTAACTAAATTGATATTAAAAAATTTATCGCGTTTTCAAGTGTAAGAATCAATTACTTATTTATTTATAAAGACTTAAAACGATATGAAAAAGATAAAGAAAGTAAATATTCAACATCAAGTGAAAAGAGAAGACAATATTTAGTAATCTTTGTTTAAAAAATTTATTTCAATTTTTTGCATTCGAAATTATTACTGTAAGTCAAAAAAAAAATTCCCACAAAACTAAAACATTTCTTTAAAATTCTCCCGCACTTTCCTTTATTATTATTAGCAGTTACCCTAAGTTGCAAATTGGCAGTGCCGTTACCTTATCAACGGATAATTATAAATTTGGTTCGATCCGTTATTCTTTTGACGGGAATTTTTATGCAACAAATATAGGTGTTATTGAGTACGAATGATTTTGATTTATCGAAAATTTAAATCCAAAAATTTTTTTTTGATAAAGTTTTATTACTAAAAAGCAATGCATTGATTGTCACACGACCGTCACCTTCTATCTAGACTTCGACAATCCAATTTTGGTTTTATTATACATTGAAGAAATATTCTTCTTGAATTTCACCTTTCTTTCTTTCTTTCTTTCTTTCTTTATTAGAAAAGAATATATGTACAAACTCTACTATTATCAAATTCATGTTTGTTCATTCGCTGCAAACCTTTTATGCAGAATTATCTGTACTCATTTATACAATCTAATAGACAAACTATGTATTAAAACAGAAATGCAATCATTTTACATGATTTTCCCGCTCAAAAAAATAAATAAATAAAGTTGGGGTAAAGATGTCCAATAATATCAGCATAAATAATCATCTAACACATAAAAGGTATTTGAATAACCCTATTTATTTTATATAAATAAAAATAACTTGATTTCATATGATTAATAAACAAATCTTAATAATATTAAGAATTTGGTTCAAGTACCTTAAAAAAATCCATGTTCTTTAAGTATAGTCAACTTAAATTAATCAAAAAAAAATTTTTTTTTTTCACCAATTAAATTCATCACCATAAATAATTGCATCTCCGATACTCCGATTTTTTATTTAATTAAGATCATCTTTATCTGTAATACAAAATTTAGTGATATGGATTGTAATCTAAACAAAATTAACTCCTTATTACATTGTTTGGTTGCGTGTTTTCTAATTTTTTTTTTCGTTGTGATATGAACGCGTGAACCTATTTGTCGATCACTCCATGCAAAACGCCGATATTCTCCCTATTTCCCTAAAACAATGAATATATAACTTGTTATTTTATTGTTCATTCATTTAAAGTCGGTTGGCAAAGAATTGATTTAAACATTTTTATAGTCTGATCAGTGATATAACTAAGGTTAGATCAAATTTAAATTTAGTATTGGAATTCCTAACCAATAATTGTTATTACTAGTATTTTTTAAAAAAATAGGTTAATTTAGGAAGAAATTAGCTCACCGACGTTAAAAAAGGAAGATTTGCTTACTTGCATCTTAAATCTTACCTGTGTGGTTTTATCATGCATCATATTGTGTAATAAGGACAATTCAAAATTTTTCATTATATCAATGAAAAACCATGTTACACCTTTAGATTCCAAAAAGAACTTTAAATCCTGTTACTTTCTTAAAATCGAAGGTCAATCATAAAGAACTTTCTTTTGATTGTGGTCATTCGTTTAAGGATGAAAAAAAAATTTAAAAATAAATAAAATTAAACGGAAAGCAAACACGAATATTAGACGAAAGGGGCTGTTCCGAATTTACTTTAACTCATTTAAAGGGTTTTGTGAATGGGTAAAAAATTTGTTTATTATTAAAACTTAAAAAAAATCGCGTCTTTCTGCATCATCCCCCAAAAAATTCCATTTTTGATTTACTAATTGATTGTGGCTTAATTATTTGCGGCTGGTTAAACTTGTGCCACCCGAAAAGGAGTTTTTGGAATATTAAAATATATAGGGATATTATACAGTACAATAGATTTTATCACATTTTATTTAAATTACTATTATTAAACACACTAATTGAAAAATAAAATAATTATTTTTAAAGAATGCTTTTAATAAATTAGCAAATATAAATATATTTTTTTAACTAATTAAATTAAAATAATTAGCTTTTTTGTATAGTTCTTTTTATTTGTAAAGTTTCTTTTAAAATCTATTTTCTTTTTAAATATTAAAAATGTTTCAATATTTTTTAAGGCAATAGAATAGCTTTTTAAATACTTTTATTTTTTATTTCTTAGATTATAGAGGATTTGTTTGCAAGCAAATTTGTCTACTTATTTACTATAAATTCTCTTTTAATCTATTTTTAAATAATTTATAAATAAGTAATATAAGTAATATATAATTTTTAGAATACTTAGAAGTTAAAATTTGTAATTTATAAAAAAATTTCTTATTAAAAATTTTATAATTATTCTAATAATCTTATTAGAATTTACTTTCAGCTATAATATAATATTAGAAATTTATCATAAAGAAAAAGTTTAATTATTATAATTATTATAATTTATTAAAAAGTTTTATGATTTTTATTAGTAAAAAGTGATTTTAATTAGTATTAAAAAAATTTGAATTTTTAAAAGAATTTGTTAAATTTAATTTAAAAAAATTATTTTAAAACTTCTTAAAAAACTTTAATTAATGATAAATAAACTTGATATTTAAACTATATTTTTAATATTATAATGATATTACTAAATAAATATTTAATATTTTATAAAGAAATTAATATTTTCTTTTAAGTTTATAGGCAAATTTGTCTATTAAACAATCTAAAGAATAATATTTTATTTATCTTATTATATAATGATAATAAATATTTTTTAAAATAATAAATTTTTAATTAAAAAATTACATATTATAAAAATAAAAATTTGTATTAATTTTTTTAAAAACATTTTATTTATATTAATATTATTTTATATTTGATATATAGAAAATTCTAAAAATAAATTTTAATTTAATATAAAATACAAATTTACTTATTAAAAATATATATTTAGCTTATAAAATAAATTTTTATTTTTTTTAGAAATTCTTTTCTTTTTATTATAAATCTTATATATTATCAAAAATTATTATATAAAATTATTATTTATATAATAAAACCTATTAAAATCTATTTTAATAGGTAATTTATATATTATTAAATATTAATAATATAATCAAAACTTAATATATTTTAAATCTAAAATTTAATATTATAAATTTATTAGCATTTTTATAATATTATATATAATATTATAAAATTTATATTTTATATAATTTTAAATATATAAATTTAAAAATTTATATAAATATATAATTTAATTTTGCATTTCAACAAATTTAAAAACTTAATTTTTACTTATAAAAGATATTTATTATAAAATAAATAAAATTTGTTTATTAAAATCAATTTTAAATATTAATCAAATTAAATATTTTTATAATAAATTTTAATTTTTTATATTAATTTAAGATTGAAATTTTGATTTTTTATTAAAAAAAGCTTTGTAATATAAAAGGTAGCTAAAAGTCTCTAAACATAATTTTTGATATTGTATTTCTTATGATATATCAATTAGAATTAATTCAAAATTTTATATAACCTTAATATATCTTAATCTATATATTAAATTTTATTTTGATTATATATATTTTAGCACCAAATTTCTAAATATTAAAATTTTAACATTATATATTACAAGATTCACCAATTAAAATTAAGTCAAATTATTCTATAATAATAACATAATCTTAAACTATCCCTTAAATTATAAAGCAGGCAAATTTGTTTGCAAAATTAAAAAAATTGTTAATTTTTTTATAATTAATTTTAATAATATCATTATTATATAAAAAATATAGTTTGATATATATTTTATCAACTTTATTAACAAAAATTTGAAGTTTTTTAAAAGGTTTTTAAAATAATTTAATTTTAAAATTAAGTTTCAAAATTTTTATTATAATAATTTTTTTAAAAATTTATATGTTTGACTTTATCATTAATTAAAGTCAGAAAATTTCTTAATAAATTATAAAAATTATAATAATAAAAGTTTTTCTTTATAAGTAATTTTATAATATTCTATTATGATTAATATAGTTAAAAGTAAATTTTAAAAGTTTTATTATAGATTAATCATAAAAGTTTTTAAATATAATTTTTTTTTAAAAATTACAAATTTTTAGCTTTTAAGTAACATTAAATTTTTTTATTATATAATAAAAATAAAACTTGTTATAATATATTATATATTTGTAAAATTAATTTAAAAAAATTTTTTTATAAATATTAAATTATTTATAAAAGTAAATTAGAAGAAAATTTATAGTAAATAAACAAACAAATTTATCTGCAAAACTCTATGATCTAAGAGATAATATATCAAACTATATAACAATTAAAGATGAGGAACGAAACTCAAAAAAGGCAATTAATAAACAGCTGAAATTATATTAAAACATAGTGAGAGATATGACGAAACCCTAAAATCCGAAATTAGCTAAAACTATATTAAAAACATAGTAATGGATATGATGAAATTATTTTGAGGGAGTTTCAGTTGGTATCTTAATAACAATACATAAA